TTGATGACAACAAAGAGGACCTTGCTGGTTACCCAGGAGTAAGAGTACATGAACTTGGAGGAGTAGATGTGGCCCGGGTAACTGTACAGCTCTCTAGAGATGATGAAGAGGATGGTGTTCCCGAGGAAAGGGATGTTGCAGGCCATGAATACCGCAGTGAAGATTGCTATGGTAACAGATGCTCGGTGAGCCAGTTCTTTTGAGGGAGGTACCCTCTGTCGGAAGAGTTTGTTGGCTGATAAGATAAAGCTGATGAAGGTGATGATGGAGGGAACGCCTATGTTTATAGTGTTTATTATGTTAGAGAACAGACTCCAAATTTTGTTATCCGATCCCTTGACACTGTAGGCAAGGTCAATAATGTACATGTAGAACACACCGAACACGTGTCTAATTCCACTTTCAAAGATTAGAGAAAAAGCGAATCCCAAGTATATCCATATGAGAGCTCTTCGGTTGATCTGGTAGAAGGGTATCCTGATAGCAAGGGCCCGAGTGACACTCATCAGCATGACCAAGAAAATAGACGTCACCTGCAGATACTCAAACAAGATGGTCCAGAAGCAGCAGAACTCCTCGCTGCTGAACGCACCTGGGTGTCGGTAGTCCAGGAGACTGAAGGCGACAGGGCTGTGCGCGATGCACGTGCACAAATCAGTTAAACTTATCACGATGTAAAGCTGACCTGCTAGTTTCTTGTTCCCACTAGAGATAAAGTACCGGAGTGCCAGGAAGTTTCCCACAGTTCCCACCACAAAACACAGGATCAAAATGGTAGCGATTATTCTGTCGACTAGAGGTGAGGAGGTGTAGTCGGTTGAGAGACGAATCACGTGCTTAGGGAATTCTTCAGAAGTGTTCATCGTTCTATAGGATTTATTGTCAAGAGATCAGCTGATTATTTCGTTACAAGAAATATTTAATAAAGTCGAAATCTAGTAACAGTACCTGGCGGAGGCATATAAATTCCTGACAGTAAAAATGACATGCGATCATCAAAAGGGCAATATTTAAAAGCTCTCCAAGCTTTTATATTACATCTTACACTGTGTGCGCAATGATGTATTTAAAACACATGTGGTTTGGAACCTTAGTCACGGTTATTATATCTATATTATATATGCAATATGCGTCTAAACTCTTGCACTTTATTTTCTGGTCGAGATAAATGGTCAGCTATAATCAAATTAATGAGTTCTCTCAATCTCTCTGCCTTAAATTCAGACACCTACACCAAAGCTTTTCTTGGTGTAATATATCAGGGGTCAGTCAGGTGCCCTCTATTAAATTTTCTCCGAATAAACGCTGCACGTACCTAATGGCCTGGTCCCTACATAATTCTCCGGCAAATCACCTCTTTGAAGATGAAAGAACTGTTAAGCTTCCATTTATCCACATGATTGACACTAAAAGGAAAAATGTGTTTCGATTATTAAAGTAGACAGACAAAATATCTACAAGTTCCTATCAAATAATTTTCGATTATGGCCAAAGTGTTGTGAAACAGAAAAGATCGAGCTGCGTGAAAATAATCGGAGATGTTTAAAATTTTATTGGATTTCAATGATGATGTGACGTGATTACTTCAGCACTTCAGTCCCGAATTTTTGATCGTTTGGCAACTTTACTGCACCTGACATCTGTCAGGGGCTCGGGCTTCGCGCCCGATATTAAATCTTGAACTGAGCTTAGAAAATCATCTGAGATCTGTCGAACTCGTGATCCACTGATCCAGCAATGGATCAATAATGAGTTTTGCTGTCACATCATCTCTCCTGTTATTCTATGCTGTTCTGTAATATATAGAAAACTGTCGATGGTACCATATATTGATAGAAAGAAAGTATAATCTTCTGAGTATAGATGATCGTACGTATATAATTATATATTATATATGCCATCAGAGAACGAGTACGTTAGTTATACGGTACTTATATGGTACTTATACGGTACTTATACGGTACTTATACGGAGAGACTGCATAGTACTACGTGTTCACACTTTTTCCACAAATGAGTTGGAAAAATGTCGACCAAAAGAAACATGAGCCCCTACGGCCTACACTCTACAGTCTACACCATAATCGCTAATACTAAAAGTAAAATAGAGAAAATCTTAATGAGCGCTGCACTTTCCGACGTATGTTTCAGAAACCATTTAAATTTAAACTACTTCCAAGGTTAGTCTTTAAGTACTATTAGTTACTATGATTGGCTATAGCGACAGCAGTTGCACTGAAGCATCCTGCAGAACATTTGATGGCTACAAAATTTCAAAGCTTATTAGGGATAATATAGAGGCAGTCGCCTGACAGTATGGACTATGGTGGAAGCAGCAGGTTTTAGTTTTAATACTCTCATTTAGTTTTAATACTACATATATAAAATTTAAAAATATAACAAATGATTCGAGGAAGCGATGTAATTGTAACAAAGCCAATATATATTTAATGTTGCCATGGGGTGGCAAATCCTCCGCTAGTTTTACTGCCTCTTAATATGGAGGTAGAATAGAGGACGTATGCAATAAATAAATAAATTTCATTGTTAAATAATTTATTTCCCTGATTATAATATAACTTAATTATCAAATTTCCAAAAAGCTTAACACAAACGTTGATATAGGCAGAACAATTAATGTTAATCTATTTTGTTGAAAAATTACCAACGATTTTAAAACATGAAATACTAAATAGCAGATAAAGTGTCAACTAGAATATTCAGACGGCACAGTTTGGTGTCTGGTCCGAAAGAGTTGTACGAATAACACGAACTAGCCACTTCTAAGCCCAGTCAAGGTTTCGTTATCAAATCACAGCGCTGTCCATCAAGTGCTATGTCAAGTCATGAAGCTGCGCCACTCAGCGACTTTCAACAAAGTGTATGTGACACCAGATCGCTCCGAAAAAGAGCGATCTCAGGACAGCTACAGGCTCCTGGTTCATGAAAAAAGAAATGGAACCAGATAAACTACATTTCATACGATCGGGGACAATTCACTCACGCCACCCACCTTATCATTAAATATTAATACTGTTGATATTGCTTTTGTTCTTTCGTCAAAAAGGCAGTTAATGGACCAACACAATAAGTGTAATTTATACCACTGCTCCTGAAGTTTAATCTCAGAGCTGCAGGGTAGGACGTAGGTAAAGAAGGATAACTTTATCCGCATGAAACCATCTATAATACCACGGTGTCCCGAGCACAGGACTTAAGGATACTTAACCTACTTTACCATTAAGACTACATTATAAAGGCAGTTATAATCCGATTTCAAAGTTCCCACTATAATAATTGATCCGTTGAAGGCAACGGCCACTGCGGTGTTAGGCTACCTCATTACTAAAATGCTCGAGTCGATGTTTCGAGCGTGCATGCTGTCATGGCTTTAAGTGGCCCTTAAGTGTGAATCATGGATCGGTAAGTACTAAATTAACTTTAAGTGCTTAACTTAGAGTTACATGAGTTACGATGTTACACAAGTGGACTCTAGATTTCCATCAACTTACAAATATCCAAAGAGTGAGTATCACTCTACTGTGCCGATATCGTCTGGAGTATCTGCCAATTCAAAAGTAATGAGAAATTCAAAAGTAATGAGATAAAATGAACTTGTCGATGATTCTTTCTCGCAGATCTATTATTTAGCCTTTCAGTTCCTTATTCAGTTCAAAACTAAAAGATACTTAAAGGATAACAAGTAACTCAATAAGAAAACTGTGACGTTTATCATCTCAAACTTTAACTTTAAGTTAACCTACAATATAACGGAATAAGTTTACATAGTCCCGATGAGTAATACTATTGATGGAACTCTCCACTTTCTATCAGTTAGGTTGAGAATAAAGTTCAATTAGCTCGTCTGGTCTTGATCTCTCTGTGCTTTCAAATTCAATGAATTATTTTATCCTAGAAATGTACGAAGTTAGGGAAGATCTAACCTCTAGATTGGATGACAACTTTAGTCTGCTGAAAATGTCTGCTGCTCTGAAGACCGAAACTACAGCAAGCAGGGATGCTGTTTATTTGGCACAAAATATGTAGAATGAACCACCATATCAAGGATAGCATGAATACACTCTGCCTGCCTCTGGGGAAGAGGAATCTGGGGAAATCTATCGTGGAATGAGTCGGGGAATTTAAAAATGCCCGAATGCCGAGAGGATGAAAACCAGAGAAGAGTCTTGAGATAATGGGCTTAAATAAATAGCATGAAGATGCTCAAGATAATGAGTTATCAGCAAAAAAATAGGAATTATGTCACTCCGGAGTCGTTTGGTCCAGTTTCTCGGGCATAAAAAGGCCTTTATCGCGATTCGCGAAGTTGACAATAATAGTAATATGTTGGTTGTCAAAGATGTCATTGATGGAGAGGTAATAATGCTGAAAGTATTGCCCCCGCAGTTGTGTAATATCTGAGCACTGCCCAAGAAATTGAGAGACAGTCTCTTCTTCATCGCCGCACATAGGACAGGCACAACGGTCAAATTAATACACAAAATTGAGGTTCGAAAGAATATATATTTATCGTGGACAAATCTATTTGTAATCTTACCACCTCGCAGCAGGATGACAATAATGACCACTATAACACCCTGTTCACACTTCACCCTACCTCTGATGCTATACCACTCGATTAATGAAATCCCCGCGTTACCTGATCAATAATCTGTTAACCTGTCGAGTACCGGGCGGTAAACTGCGGTAAAGAATTGGAACACCTCGTGATATGACTCCGGTTTACTGTTGTAAAATTTAGGAACTTAGTCATGATCACCTTGAGCTTCACGTTCAGTGTTCTTATAATCAAAGGCTACTTTTCACCAATGGAATTACAGCTGATATCTGAATCAGAAGTTTTAAAACTTCCCAACTTTAATTTTATGCCCAAAACAATGCTTTATTGTCGTAGTTTTCATGTAAAAAATATCGCAAGGCAACAACCATGTTGTGAAACATTTCATCTTACACTTCCACCTCCTCAGATACATATCAAACATGTCAGAGGAGAATGCCGGACACTACAGAGCTAAGGTCACGTTCGGGACCCTGACACTGGAACTAGACGCAACTGTAACCCACCTTAAGTTCCTGGAGCTGTCTACTTCCATACCACTTCCGGTGGAGTTCAACACTTACTACTTAACCTGTCGGTTTAGTGGTATTATTGGAAAAGCAGTTCCGCTCATCACCTGGTTCAAGGACAACACACCGGTGAGTTAATAGAGCTAGTGGGTATCTGGGGGTGGTTAGCGGGGTTATTTATTCTATTATTTACATTTTTACTGCTGTCATCGAATTTTATCAATTCAGGCTTTGGAATTTGAATACTATAGTTGTTTTCCCGCTTTGGGAATAAAATCAGGACTGCAACTTCCCGACAAGAATTATATTTATCTTTTTCTAAATTAGCCTCGCCGAGATTTATTAACGATTTGAGGGTTATATGAGTACTACCATCTATGGTAAGATTATAAGAAAGAACGCGACTTTAAATTTATAATCGGAGCACTATACCAAAATGATGGAATATTGTTAATTAAAATTTCAACTTCAAGCTCTAGTCGCGCCAGAATGTCAATTCATTTAGCAATGTTACCTTGTGGATTTTATTGACTGTAGTGCAATGACAAGTGATTCCGTTTTAAACGAAATTAGAGAGTCAAGAAATTACCTTGTCTGTCGTCATGAGAACAATTTTGGTGGGTTGTTCTTGATTTCGTCAATTCACCTGCCATTAATGACACTTCACCCGTCAGTGATCCTTCTGTTTTCAATTGATCGTTCCCTATGAAATTTTTTGATATCCAATACAATAGATTGCATAGAGAATTTATGGTCGAGAAAGCAAGTAATTCAATATTGCATGAAATATAATTTCTGATATCCAATGATACTCAGATAGCACAGAAATAAACCCGGTGAAGCTTGCAAAGTTAGCATATCATTTAACCACTCCTCGTGTCCTCAGTTCTCGAAGATAGAAAACGGCTTCATCAGCACGAACACCCAGAACGACATGACAACAAGCAAAGTGGTGATAACCCTAGCTAACTCCACTTACCACGACGGGGTCTACAACTGTTCGGCTACCTACGCTGATGTACTGCCCACGTTCGGGGGCACCCTCAAGTCTCCTAACAACAAACCTATCACAGTGCTCTGTGAGTTATGTTTTGTGTGTGCTTTAGTTTGTGTTGTGTGATAGTAAGGATTCAAGAGGAGATGCCTGAATTATAATGTAGGACTGATAATTTAGTCCGCTCATAATTTAGTCCTAATCGCTCATTTTAAATGATTGCGTTTTAAGTCAGGTCTGGCAAGCGTACCCTGGATATCCCTATAACTGACTATAATCTCAGATACGATTGACATAGTTGCACCACTAACTTCGAAGGAAGGGGAATCGATAACAATGAAATGCCGGGGTAGCTATGATCCAAGTTTGGGAACCAAAGACAGCTCAAGTTATAAGTTTGTCTGGTTCTACGGCGAGCAAATAATCCAAGAGGTATTATTTCATATTTATGCAGAATATATAAATGTAACCTTTTAAATCTGGTAAAGTTTTTCTAATATATTTATAAATGACTGAAAGCTGAAAAAGTACGACACTGTGCCATTAGCAATCGCGAATCAATTTGGCTATCAGCCTGCTAAGGAGGCGGCGGGAGCCAAGTTACTTTTTATTTGAAACTTGAGATACCAGTCTGACCAGTGAATTAGAACTACATCTGCAATCACCAAATTTTGATTTGTGACCCAAAACGATCATAACCTGGCCAGGTATTAAATTTCATATGATACAATTTTAGAACTTTTACACCTGCTTTTGCTAAACCTTCCAACTTCTAAGTTCTCACATTGCACAAATTTAAGTCACTAAACGTAAACGTTTTTAAATCTAAAATCTCCGGCATCTAAAGATGTTTGATAACATGGAATTTGCAGGAGTCTATTTTTGTTTAGCATTGAGAGCATTGAGAGTATTAAATATCTAGTTCCCTTACAATGAAAGGTAATCATACAACTAACACCTAAAACGTATTTACCAGTATAATTGACCGAAACACAATCCCTCAGAAATCCAGCGCAATAACAAATAACGGGAAGATTATCGAGAGTTTGTACGTTATCGAGGAGGCAGGGGGAGTGAACAACGGTACCTACAGCTGCAAAGCACTCTACATCATGAACGGGGAGGAGTTGCCAGGGAAAACTACTCAGCACTCAAGTATTTGTCGAGGGTACGTGATCAGCGCTAGCTACATTATTCTCAACATTATTGTACATTTCCCATTTTATGCAGTTTTGCTTAAGGTATTTCAGCACACGGCCCACGGGACCCTGACGTTGGGGTTAAGTAATTTATAGGTCGTTTGAAATCGAGATATTAATTTGGCTCCCGAAGGTCATGTTATCCGGAGCCTTATTTGAGTGACCCAGTATCTGTCTGATGAATGATCATTTATCAACTATTGACAGTCGGGCACTTAACATAACACCTACACTACTCTCAAGTTTTCATTAAACCGTTATTTTCAGAGATTTGTACTTTACCGGTGGTTGTGGGTGGAAGCTGGCATGAGAAAACAGAAGCTGGAGATCTTGTTCCTAAAAAAGACACAACAGCTTTTGCTGGGAAAGTTTTGTACCTCGTATGCGCACCTGACTACACCAATAAAGGTGGGATAATAATCTTTATCTACGTGAAATTTGTCAGCTTGTTCTTTTCAGCACTTGAGACACGTGCCAATCTGTTAAAACGTGCCAATCTGTTTAACTCAAATTAACGATCAATTTAAAATCACTGACAATAAAATTGTATCCAACACTTTCACCTCAGGACCTGCCTTCAAAGTGTGTCTCCCCGGGGGTTCTTTCAGCGAAAGCTTGACCTGTGAGAAGAAACCAGAGGACGCTAAGTGCCCGAATATAAAATCGTCAGATGAAGGATCATCAAGCTGCGCTGTGGTGGATGACTTATTCTCTTGTAACTTCACCTGTACTACCGGTGTCATTTATAACGGGAAGTCTCTTCAGAAGTGGGAGGTTAGTTCTATCATCTGAATCATGTATTAATATTATAGGTGATAAGGAATCCATCGCTAATCTACGGCACAAAGGGACTGAAATTAATTTTCTATTTTAGATACTAGACATAAGATTTTTACTGTAACGACCACCCTGCAGGTCAAGACTTGTAACACCACGACCAAGCTCTGGTCAGATCAGGTGACACCCGAAGCGTACTGGTCCGTTTGTACGGTTGAGGCTGAGCCTGCAGGCAGATATTATCGTGTTGACGTCCTGTTTGAACCCAACGTTGACTGCTCTCAAGTTCCCGACTTCCCTGCCCAGCTCAACACTTTTTTCACAAGCAACAAGGACCATTACAAGTGTATCAAGAACCAGCAATGTCGTCTACTATCATCGGACTCCACCTGTACCGACAACGCTAACAAAACCATCACCATCTCCTTCACCATGAGCCAGCTGGTGACCATGAGCGATGACAGTATATTTGAAGCGTTCGACCAAGCCCTGGATATCCACATAAGAATTGGAGTATTTGTCCTGACCAAGTCAGAAGGGAGGAAGAGATCAGCAGGAGTAGTAACGGCGACAAGTTACTTAGACACCAGCTGGATAGATTGTGAGGACGGTTGGGGTCGGGTAGAGGAGCGTTGTGTGCAGTGTCCTGCTGGGTTCAAGAGCAACAAACAGACCCGGTACCCCTGTGAGATCTGCTCTGGTGGCACCTTCACCTCACTGCCTGGTAAGGACGAGTGTACCAGCTGCCCGGAAAATACCAGTACGCCCTCTAACGGGGCTACATCAGCTGACATGTGCATGGTCCTCTGTAATATCCCCAAAATTACAAACGGCAACACTTTCCCCTTCGTCAACTTCAACGTTACCTCCGATCAGGATGTAACTATCACGTGTAACTCTAACCCGTCTGATTTCCACGATACTTCATATTACGCTCTAGAGTTCGGACAGGAGAGTGTTGTTAAGTGTGCCACGAAACTGCCAGACTGCTACAGAACCTGCTCCCTTACTGACCTACCGGAAAATCAGGTCTTCTTGGGGTCCTACAAGGTAGGCGACTCAATCACCTACAGAGAAAGAATCGGCATCAAGTGTTCAGACAAGTCCACAGTTTTTGCAACGTGTGGTGAGGAAGGTTTGATATCCATACCGGTGTGCGGCAAGCAGATCGTTGAGGAGCCTAGTTCCCAAAACATTGTGTGGTTGGTTGTTGCGGTTTCTGTTTCTGCATTGGTTGTGGCTGGTGTGATAATTCTCACTGCCACCATTGTCAAGAGACGGAGGGACGCCGCGGAGAAAGCTGAGAGTGACATGTCGAAGAGTATCGCTCTTGCTACAAATATCTACTCAGGACAAGAACAAATTGTTCTGTCAAGACCCTTCGATGCACAGGCTTTCGTCATGCATGTTCAGGTTAGAAACATATCCCTCGGCCCTCGAAAATTCCATTCTACCAATATAACTAATATGATATTAACTCTCTGGATCCAATTCTCAGCTGAAGATTCCAAACTTTAAGATCATAAGCTAGATAATTATCAAATAAAAATTCAGGAGTTCTCAGCAAGCAACAACGAGAAATTCCTGGAAGATTTTGCCAACATTCCACACGGAGATGAGTCGAGTAAGACAGCAGGACAACAGGAGGTTAACCTCAAGAAGAACAGATATCAGAACGTCATTCCGTACGATTTGTCTCGTGTAAAACTGGTTCTGAAGAAGAACGTGCCCTACTCAGAGTACATCAACGCTAGCTTCATTAACGGGTATGCTTGATTATTAAAATTTGTGGCTCATCGAAATACTTTATATGCCATATTTTCCATAATAGTTTAACACCGGGTTCGTTAAAATCATTGGTATTAAAATTGGTTTCATTGTTGGTAATCAGATGTCCTATTAGGTATACCCGACCGAAGGAGTACATAGTTACCCAGAATCCTTTGAACAACACCAAGACGGACTTCTGGAGGATGGTGTATGAGCACAGATCATTCTACATTATTTGCCTGTGTGACGGCGACCCTGATACCCCGGTACTAATTTTTAACCCAACCCTTTTTTGACGTTTTCTGAGTGTACAACTACAATTCTTCAGAACTAATGTGTTAAGTACTGAACAATCTTCCCTCAGAACAAGTGTGCTAAGTATTGGCCGGACGAGGAGTACACGTACGGAAACCTGCGAGTCTCACTTCTCACAGACACCCTCTACCCCAACTTTATAGAGCGAACATTCGAGCTACTGCCGACTGGATCCAGTACTGCGGTCACTGTAAAACAGTACCATCTCACAAACTGGAGGGGTCCCGTCCCTGATCAGGCTGCTTTCATAGACTTTATTTATTACACCAGGTTCCTTACCAAGGATAGACGTGAACCCGTCATCATTCATAGCCCGTGAGTTTTACTTATACTTATTGAAATTCAAATCACGTAAAAGTGTACATGCTATTCATTAATTCATTGATCATTATTATTTAAGCTACTCCGGACATGAATAACTTCCTTTATCTAATATTACATTATTGAATTAGAGTAACATAATGCTGACTCTAAAACCACAGCTAGTACTACAGTAAACCCCCGATAAAGCCCCCCCCCCCCCCCCCCCCTAAGTTGCTACTGGACTTCAATCCCTTTTTGCAGGAGCGGTGCTGACTATGCGGGAGTTTACGTAGCACTCGACTACACACTGGATAGACTGAGTAGGGAGGACACTATCAACGTGTTGGGTGTCACCTCCGCCATGAGAACTCAACGTGTTCTCATGATTCAGAACGAGCTGCAGTATATCTTCGTTCACAAGATAATCGCCAAGATTATCAACAACAAGCACTTCGAAAATCTCAGGGACAACCGCTTCAAATTTAGTAAGTTGGAAATTTATTTCTTCGTTCGCCATTTTATGTTTCGCTTTTATGGAAACTTGGCCACGTTTTGGCTAGGATTCTACAAAATGATTCACTGTGACTTCATCTTCAGCTCTTCGTAAGATAAAAGAGATAAGCAACGATACGATAAAGTGGGATAATTCTTGATAACCCTTAACTAGAAGTGACCTCTGATCCTGGGTTTTATTTTTCCTACACCAAAAATCTGAATTGGTCGAAGTCGCTCTTGATAGTGATAGATTTTGTAACCATTATGTAATAAGACATTATGAGGTTTAGCTCATTAATTAATTAGTGGTAATATAATGAGTTATGATAAAGTAATGTGATCGTGCTGCATATTAGCACCAGTATATTACAAAAGCTGTATAGAACAGAAATATAATAATACATTTAGATGAACAAATTAAGTTCTCTTAAACTTTGCAGCAGCATTCAGGAAAGACCTTCTACATTCTAGCCATGTGATTGAATTAATTGATAACGTTTTAATGTTAAACTCTGGAAGTTTTCATTATCTTCGATGTTTTTAAATATACTTAACTATGTGAACGACTTCTGCTTTGTTCTTGCCGTAAATGGACTCCAAAAATATGTTGAAATTTCGATCATATCACAGAACTGTTATAATGTATAAATAATTAACTATAATTTAATTCAGATTATTGAGAATTTATTTATATGGCTTCATGAACTGAAATTATTTCTTTGTTATAATGTTATTGATGATGATACCAGATGTTGTTCAATCTCTTCAATTGTTCATAAACAATAAAGTCCAGCTCCAAATCTACAATTTCCCGTTTTTGATTTTGTTATGGAATAAAACTGAAAACGTTGTGACTGTGTGTTGTGGGCCTCTACTTCTATTCTTACAGTTATAAAAACTGCGTATACTATTATGTACATCATACAGACAATATCATTTGGCGCGCGCTATATTTCCCGCGAAAGCACATACAATTACATCTAATTGCGATTTGATACGTATGAAAAAGTACTATAACTTGCTTTATTTTGATTGACGATGTCAACCCTTCCAGATCGTTGCTCTTGTTGCAACGATCTTGTTGCAACGATCTTGTCGCAACGATCTTGTTGCAACGATCTTGTTGCAACGATCTTGTTGCGAAGCAAGAATGCTAGTTTGCGCGTCGAAGCGGCGAAGTCCTCCAAGCTTTATTTTGCACTAAGTTGACGTGTATCGACCAAAATTGAACGGGAAATCATTTAATAGACATAAAATAACTTTCGAGACACCTGAACAAAATCTACTCATGCTGTTGTGCTTTTTACGGAGAAATAGGAAAGTTGCTCTATTAACCAGAGCCCTCTCTACGCGTCATGCAGTATGCGTATACACATGACTATGTGAAATAAGACAGTAGTATAGCGATTTTGAACTTGGCATTTTTTGCTACACGTTCAACGTTGCATCTTCACATAGCCATGTGTCTACGCGTACTACTACTGCGTGACGCGCTTGTTTCACAAGTAGAATAGTCTTTGCCGCCTTCGCCGGTCGCGCGCTACTGCAAGCGAGAGGGCTCTGGTTAGAGCAACGGTTGCAGTACCAAGTACAGCGTGTGTCAAGGCATTTTCTTGCGCCGCCCAGTGCCCAGTAACATTTCAATATGTCATGATCGAGGTTAAATAAGCTGATACGGTAAAATTACAACTTATTACATATTAATATGTTTTCCATCTGACATCGCCATTTTTGGAAAACTTGAAAATTGACGATACTCAAAGTGCAGAGGTTGTAATAGTGTCAGTTTCACCAAATATCTTAGATGATGATTAATCACTCTACACTCGACTGTCACCAGTCACGTAACTTTTTCAACCCGTTCTCTAGCTGGTCCTGAACAACTTTTCGAAACCCTAACCCTCTCATCTGATCCCAACCCTAACCCTAACCCAATCTTTCACAAAAACAACCCTAACCCTAACGAGAAATTAGACTAACTTCCTTATACGGTCATATCACGTGATCGAGACAGCTTTTCGCCAATATCTCGTCAGGGGAGCATTTTAACCCTATGTCATGGGGGGGGGGGGGTGATTCAGAATCAGTAGGCAGTGCGCCATCGACCGTAAGACGCGCACGCTGACCATTGAATGGTTTTTAGCTCTTATTTCGGCCAGCACATTATTTCGGAAACAATCAAAAAGCTATAATACTTCCTATATAACAATTTTGTTGAAATTTGGTCAGCGTACGTAAACACTTATGTTTTACTGAACCTAAATTAGTTTGAGCAATTTCGATGGTCAGAATTTGAGTTATCAACGGATTTATACCTATTTTGTCATTTTTAGACCTCTTTATCAAGGCCAATCTCTCCCAACTAAATTAGGTTCGGTAGTTAAGTATGATTGGAAGGTTCTGACAAATTTTCAGCATGATTCATGTTCAGGAACCGAAGATATTATAGAATAATACGACAAAAATCAACGAATTTCGTCAAATTACGCGACTTTTACACCTAATTTTGCTCCAAAAGCCGCGCACCATCAAATATGGCACCTAGGCGAAACTCACTGATCATTCCAAAAAGGTGTGACAAAATTCTCACAGTCTCTATACTAGAAAACAATGGTACAAAAATTTTGAAAATCCGAGCAAGTTTATTTTTATCGTGCACCCCCTAGAATCAGCGTCCGAAAATACGTCGATTAAAGTTGGTTACAACCGTCAGGGGCCCTTTTAGAAAAATCTCGAAGATCGACTGTAGAGTGATTTAGCACGCTCGAAATCTTTATCCCGCCAAATCTCTATGTGAATGAATAGTATAGTCTGGGGTCCCCAGGTAATCATAACCTTACTGGGCCGCGCTCAGCCTGTCATTCCGCCTTATCTCTCTATATTCATTCCGCCTAAACATTCTCTGTTTATAAACATGATACATGATAGCCTGAGGACCCCAGGTAATCAATCATAACCCTGATCAATGAAAAATTGAATGAAGTACCATTTACCATTTACAAAAGTGCCAATGCTTCTTTTTACTTTACTTTAGGGACTAGGTCCCTGCAAAGAAATGTGATAAATTACTTGTATTGCCATATAATGCCATCTTGTAAAACCTCTCTGACAGTGAATTGAATTTGCGCCTTCTCAGTCGGATCTGGAAGTCGAAACAAACTTTAGGTTTAACTAGGGAGCACGATGAAAAGTGCTTGTTTTCAAAGCTAGTTCTAAACTTGGGCTTCTTAAGAAAACATGTCATTTCACTAGTGATACAAGACGCAGAAATAGTCGTTCTATTTAGCCTTATTATGTTTAGCCTTATTATATTTGAACATTGTCCCGTCATATGGTCCTCTCAAACTGTAACTCACCTTAAGCGGTTTGCTGCAATTTAAAAGCGGGCCGTTTAATGGATCAATGATGAACCCTACTCAGGTTATCATGGGCGCTCAAATCATTGATATGTCAGATTCCTCTATTTACAGGAAAGAAAACATTTTGTTTATCAAGTACCATTGTGCCCTGTTCAAATGCCTCCCGCAACAGCTTCTTCCATAGATCTATGCTAAAGTGAAATAGTCTACCAGTATGTATCCGCAGTCGGATCGGATTTCTTCTTTCAGGACCTGATCAAGTACCTTTGGGCCGCCGATACAATCTTGCCGGACAAACTCTAAAATTCCTTAAGTTTTTATACCTTACTACTCCAACCTGGCCTACAGCCAGGATTTTCAGTACAGCAATTGGATTTCCTACAACACCCCACAAGTGACAAGCATGATGTAAGGGTGGGGTAGAACGGGGCGTAGGAAATCAGGGCGCTGTAAATTGGGGTAGAACATGTTGCCCCCCCCCCCCCCTGCTGAAAAAGCACTCCCTGTTGGTGCCACATCCCCCTCAAAGTAGAAACGGACAAATAAGGTGATTTTAGAGAATATCCAGATAAAATCTCTAAAAATGTTGTTTCTAGAGCAAAACGGTATGCATAGTTTTGCTAATACGTTTGTTAAGTTTTTCGAAATTGTTTCCCATTCAAATGACGATTTGGTATCCCCCTAAGGTGCCCCCACAGCAGGGTCAGCGGGACCCTTTGTTATGCCAATGCTGTCCAATAGTTTTTCTTTGAATTGGGACAGAATTGTATTATCAGCCATATTTTTAGCAAATTTGATTTTTTGCTATTGTTTGTTAATGACAAATTTTGTAGACAGCTCAACGTTGATGTCACTCATGCTATGTGTTGGTTTAGTTAGTTGTAATCCTACCACACATCAGAGGCGGCTCGTGGGAGCTGGCTGGCAGTTTTGTTGGGGGTCCAATCGATGGACTGGGGGGGGGGGGGGTGGGGGGCTTGGGAGTCGGCTCAAGCTGATCCCTCCAAACTACCGATTACATTACACACAGGGCCTTGTAAATGTAATGTGTAACACTTTACAGGCGACAGCAAACAAAAACATGGGTGAAACAGGACACCACACGTGTACGATCTCAGCCGCGCAGTATCATATAGCAGTCAAATTGCAAAGGGTCCTGGACCCCCAAATCGAGGCAAATCATAATAGATTACCTGTAGTGGGATGCGCACGATGTGCTTTGTAACGTTTACAATTAACTATGTGTTAAAACTGCGCGGCTGAGTAGTCCAGAGGTAGGATTGGACTCCCTACAACACAAAATTTCACGAAGATCATGCGTGCGCTTACATTAAAACGTATGATAGTAAATGAAGTCCTTTATATTGCGATTTGTTATTTCCTAACACTATTACTAATTACTATTTCTATTTTAAGCACCAGCCACCAGATAATAATTTTAAGGCGTCCACAGACGCCTGGACGCCCTCAATAGCCGCCTCTGCCACACATTATACAGCTTGTATTGCAATACCATCGTTTTTATTAGTTTCATATCAAAATAATGTCAATGTAATTTTACATGGCTTGATTCTCATGAAATAATTAATTGAATTTTCATTTACCGCAGCCATTTGAACTCTACAAAAAAATTTAAACATAACTTAACTTGCAGCAAAGGTTCTGCTATGAAGAAGAAACGAAATTGATATGACGCCTACGTTATGGATGTTACAGTTGATCAAGCGATAGAAAATATCTGGGAGTGCAAGGCAGAAGAAGATTTTCTTGATGTTACCCTGACACTCCTTAAACTTATCCAAAATGTTTTATTCAACCCTGATAAACCAAAATTCAAGAAAATTAAGAGAAACACTGCAGTAAGGTTCTTTCTATTCTAATATATAGTATTTTGTGTTAGATATTGTGCTCAAATACTAAATTTTAGATCTGATATACGATTGTATGTAATTGTTTTGTGACATTTCACATTTGACCTTTGCTCATGAACTAACAATAAAATTTTCAGTTTTTCTTCACAAATCCTGGAGTTGAAGATTTTTTAAGAGTATGTGGTTTTGAAGTCCGTGAAAACTGGATGATATTCATGGACACTGAAGTTGCATTTTTGAAGATTGACACCGGGAAACGACAGCTTCTTAGTTATCGGAAAAAAGTGGACTCTCTCAAAGCATATGAAGTGAGCTTTGCTGTTTTTGTTTGGTATCATTTATCAACTCATTTCTCAATGGTCAGTATTGAACAGAAATTTGATAATTCTCTTAATGAATTTCTATTGCAGGTTCCCGAAAACAGTCTACGCTACACAAACATTATGCTTGGAAAGGGCAAGTTTGCATCAGTGTTCCAAGGATCTTGGGAAAATTGTCCAGTTGCCATTAAAGCACTCCATCCATATTGCTCGGACCAAGCTGTTAAAGATTTCAGAAGAGAAGCTGAAATATTGAGGTTTGGGGCTCAAACGAAACATTTATGGTTTTGTGTAAGATATTTTTAGAATTCCGCTATCGTGAGTGTATTGAATGATTTAAAAGAAACAGTACAATTATATTGTTGTATTCTATCTACTACAGGGGGCGCCAAAAGTCAATATCCATACATTGGCCTTAATAGCTCAGTCACTGAGTGACCAATTGAAATAATTCTTTCTGGTATGACTTACTGCCACCACTGGTTCGAGGAATTTGTCAAGTCGAAAAATATTCGTGTCCATTTTTTTCAAATGAAGGTTCATTTTCGCATTTATTTGATAGTTTGGATAGTTGGATCGAGTCAAATTTTATTGAATTGTGTTTGGCCATTTAAATTACGTTTGTCCTGAAAAAAATGAGAGTTCTAGTTTCTCAGATGACCGAGATATGAAGCATAACAAGCATGTTTATTACGTGTGATCAGGTAATTGGCTTGAGGCTAGATCCGTCATCCGCATTATGGGAATCGTGCAGAGCGCCCAATTATGGTGTTGTAATGGGCTAATCATTGATTACCCAATCAATTTTGCTAACGAGATAAACAAATTGCTTGATAACTTCGTCATTTTAAATCCGTTTCGTACCATCTTTTTGAGATTATATTCCGGATTAAATGACCTATTGCAATATGTTACAACGGAGTCTCTAACATGTTCACAAACACGAGTATAAGCGATTCAATGTTGATTGGGCGTGGCCCCCAAAAATCGAACTTTCAAATTTTGGTGACGGAATCCTCGAACAAGTAGGTACAGTATGCCATCTGCATTCTGCAAAGCAACAACTCTCAAATATAAAACACGGCGGTGGTATAAGACCCAACGTATGGGTACTGAATTTTGCCCCCCCCCCCCCCCCCCCGCTATGTATTCACAGGTAACATTTTCACCTATTCAGGAGTTTGAAACATAACAACATTGTTATCTTATATGCAGTTTGTTTGCAGAATGTCAACAAGCGACATGCCCATGTTTTGGTGAGTAAGAGCCTCAACTTTAATACTTCAGTGTCCAAACTGTAGATCTTCTTTTGATTGGTCGGCGTCGACTGTAAGCCTTCCTTGCGGTGGCTTTCACAACGCGTCCCCATTCTCCAACTCCTGCTGCTGGAGAGAGAGACTCCCAAATTATATACCATAAATATATTATACATAGATATCGACAACAGACTCCGAGAGTCTTGAAGTGCTGTTACCACCGCCCCTGGTGCAACCCCTTACGGGTTAACGATGGGGAGACAGGGACTTCCAGGGACGGTCAGTGCCTAGAAAACTGTAAGATGTCCTATTTGTGTTAGTGGTTAATGGGATCCTCGAAAAGATCCTCCTTTAGTAGTCTATTGGTTGCCTCGATAAATTTTATAACCGTACTAATTCTAGCTGATACTATGTCTTCCCAGGTTAGAAATATATTACCGAAAATTCTTAGCCTAATGGTCATGTATCCTATACAGTGACACATGAAGTGTTCCGAGGTTTCTTCCTCTTCTGGACAGTGTTCACAACGGGGGGATGTGAAATTGTTTGCCTTGTATTGGAAGTAGGCTAGGGGGCTATGTCCTGTGAAGAGCCAGGTTAGCCATCTTTGATGATTTCCTGCAAGTCCAAGATTCCTGTATTTATATTTGGTGAGTAGGATTGTTAGTGGTATTTTCCCTTTCTCGCTCAGTGCCGTGTTCCTGTATCTACGAAGATGAATTCCGTGTAAATACTCCTTTACTGCCGTCTTAATTGCTCCTTCGGATATGCTGATGAAGGGTTCAGGACCTAGAGCGATTGTGAGTGATCCTTCTCTGGCTAGTTCATCAGCTCTTTCGTTTCCTGGAATACCTGCATGTCCTGGGACCCACCTGACATTGACTGAGTGGGTTTGTCCTAGTTTGTTAAGGTAGTTAATGGTATCAAGAACTAAGTTAGATGTGACCGTGTGGTGTGTGACTGCTAGGATTGCTGCCTGTGAATCTGAAAAGAATGTTATACTCCCAGGTTCTGAAATATTGATAGTTGCCCAGTGAGCTGATGTGTTGAGAGCAAACAGTTCACACTGGTATACCGTTGCATTAGTGCCTAGGTGGAAACTTTGTCTCTGGACCTCGATTGCGTTTCTTATTACGCAGTAACCTGCACCTGAGAACTGTTCTATTTTTGAGCCGTCTGTGAAAATAGCCCAATGTGTTGCTGGGGTGATTCCGACCTGCTGTGTTGCTTTAGACCGCTCCTGTATTATTGTTTTAAACTTCCGATCCAAAACTGTGGTAGTTTCGATAATGTCCGTAATTTTACATTTCATCGCTGGTATGGTTGACATAGCTTTGTCCAGATTGTATGCATGGGACTTACAGTTTCCTGTTCTGCTAAACTGGTAGTTAGAATTCCAATTACCGTTAATTTTGAGTCTCCGAGCTGAAAGTATGGCCAGTTCCTTGAGTTTTAGATCAATGGGTTTGATTCCTGCCATGATTTCCAAGTTTTCTAGTGGTGTACTTTTGAGTCCTCTTGATATCATGATACTAGCGTGTCTCTGAATTGCCTGCATCTTGGTCTTTAGGTATTGGGCTTCGTCTATTCTATGCTGCCATGCGAATGCAGCGTAACCTAGAGAAGGGAGAATAATTTGGTTATATATCCATCTCGTCCCTGTAGGTGTAATACCCCACGTTTTGCCAACTGCTCTGTTGCATGCCTGAAGATGTTGTACCGCTTTGTTACATTTCACCTGAATATGCTTCCCCCATGATAGTTTGCTGTCAATGGTTACTCCTAGATAGACTGTATCAGTTACCTGAGGAACCTGATTATTACCTACCATTAGTGGGTTAGTAAGCATATTATCCCTTTTATTTGTAAAAAGGATTGCCTTAGATTTTAACGCACTAAGTTTGAGACCTTTACTGGCACACCACCTGTTGATGTTAGTTAGATGCCGTTGAGAAATTTCCTGAACCGTAGTTTTACAAATTCCGCTGATTAGTATTACCAGGTCGTCCGCAAAGGCTTGGACAAAACTAGTGTGTATTCCTAGTGAGCTGAGGAAAGTGTCCAGCGTTATGTTCCATAGAAGTGGGGACAGAACTCCTCCTTGTGGACTTCCTTTAGTTGCTTTCTTTGTGGTATCGTGACCACAGTATGTGACTGTGATCATCCTGTTACTTACCATGTAGTAGATCCAGTTTGTGATTGTTTCCGGAATCCCTGCTTGTAACAGTGCATCTTTGATTGCCTGAAAACTAATTGCATCAAATGCCTGTTCGATATCAAGAAAGATTCCAAGAGCATAATTTCCTGTTGCCACGGCGTCCTCAATTTTCCTTGTTAGTATATGTATTGCTGATTCTGTTGATTTCCCTTTCCTGAAACCGTGTTGACTCTTAGTAAGTTTCGCTGGGATCTTGAGGTCCTGTTCGAGATACCAGAGGATAAGTCTTTCTAGAAGTTTCTGGAAACAGGATGTTAGTGAAATTATCCTGAATGCCTTGGGGTTTGTGTAATCTGGTTTTCCAGGCTTCGGGATTACACAACCTGTTGTTGATTGCCACGAGGTTGGTGTACAGCTTAGAGCTAATGAATGGTGGAAAATCATTCTTAGAGGGTCCTTTATTTTATTCCAAGCTTTTATGATCATCTCATTTCTAATTCCGTCTGGACCTGGTGATTTGTTCATGTTAAGATCTTTTACTGCCCGATTGAAGCGATGTGGTGCCGTAATCTTGAGAATCATTGCAACATCTGGTGCACTCTGCTGTGTTGGCAGGGCTGGGCTACCGTCCGATGGTATGAGAGCATCGGTGAGTACCTGTAGAGTTTCCTGGGGTGAGTTAGTTAAAGTACCGTCTGGTTTCCTTAAACTATTGAGCGAGCCTTGTGTTCCGTTATTTCCTAGAACTTTATGGATACGTGATAAAGCAGGGATCTTGGTAATATTTCCTGTGAATTGTTTCCAATTTTGTCTTTTCGCCGTTCTGATGAGGTTTGCATATCGTCTGTTAGCTTCAGCATAAAGTTCCCAGTCCGGGCTGTTTCTCTTTCTGTTAAATTTACGTCGCAGGGCTTTTGCCGTCTGCTTGGCTTTCGTCAGTTCAGCATTCCACCACGGTACAGTCGATCTTCTTGTGCCTCTTGTCAGAGGGCATGCTAGCTCAAAGGAGCGCAGAAGGGTGTTGGAGATAAACAACTGTCTGTCATCGAGATCCGCCGATGTAACAACCGGTTTAAACCAGAAGGGGGTGTTATCGAATGAGGAGGAAACTAGCGTCTCATAAAGTTGCCAGTCACATTTCGCCGGACTGCGTGACGCAAAACTTGTTCTGTTACCTAAATCTAGGGAATAACAAATAGCTTCGTGGTCCGATAGTGATTTACCTTGATCTACTTTCCAGTTATGGATTAAGTTGATCCCTGCTAGATTGCAGATAGTAAGATCTATACAGGAACTCCCTCTACTGCCTACAAAAGTGGGTGTTGTGCCTGTGTTACAGATTATGAGATTATTTGCGTTTAGTACCTGCAAAAGTTGTTGACCTCTGTTGTTTGTGTTTGGGTGTCCCCAGGCCGTGTGGTGAGCATTGCTGTCCACTCCTAGAACCAGAGGTAACTTTTCCTTATCTGTAAACCGTGCTACCCTGTCAATTATATCGGATGAAATGTTCTGTGTTTGGTCCAAGTAAAGTGATCCTAGTACAATCGACAGTGAGCTGTTGATCCTACTTCTAATAAAGATAGAGTCAGCAGAGGAGAAATGTCCTAGTGTCATAGAGTTTCTAGCTAGATCCTTTGGTAGGATAGTAGCCACTCTGGCTCTGTCCTGACTAAAGGGAACGAACTGTTTGTGAGTTTTGGGGACGTTACTAATACTCCCTTTCCTAAGCTGAGGTTCCTGTATTAATAAAATCTCGTGTTGTTTAACCTCCTTTAACAGTGCTGAGGAGGCCGTGATGCGTTTACCTAGGTTAACCTGTGTAATGCAGGTAAGAAATGAAGAAGTGCTAGCCATAGAAAATGATAAAAAAGAGAAACAATGCCTATCTAGTACTAACCCTGAATTACTGCGTGGAAGTTATGCTGACTCCCCCTCCGAGGCGTCAGATACGTCCGACTGTGCTTTCCCGTCTTTGTTCATCAGTTTTTTCAGTTTGTGTTGCCTAGCTGGTGGTGCCTCCTTGAAGGGAGTGCTCGTCCTGGGTGTTGTGGGGGTCGTGGGTGGAGCTGTCGCAACGATTTGCAGTAGCTCGTTCTCCTGTTCCACGGTGAGTTGTTCCGTAAACAAATCATTCTCCTCAAGAAGCGGGATGGGGAGTCCCGTATCCTCTCCTGTGACGTACCTACAACGTATATCCTGCAGCTCTGGCGTCTGTTCTATTATCGTGTTATCATGCCCTACTCCACTCGGTCCTGGTTGCTGGTCTTTCAGCTCATCCCTGAGGGCTGAAATGTCCGTGTCTGGGGCAATGTACCCTCTTATACCTCGAACAGGGAGTTTACCCCACCTAACCATAAAAAGTCCTATCGGGGACATCCAGTTTTTTGACCGTAACCACTCAAATGCCTCCTCGTCAATCTCGAGGTACACGTTCCAGCTTCCTGTGTTCATATTGTCCGGTTTCCAAGCTTTCCTGGAAATCTTGACCTGATTTTGGCGAACCTCGCCAAATGTCCCTGCAGCGAAATGTTCGTTTATTTTTGGCAGGATACTTTCTGCTGGTCCTGGTAGGAGGGTATGAATTATTCTACCAGGTGGTTTTTCACCTGGCAGGAAGGCCTCGTACTCTGCCAGCTCGTTTACGGCCTTTTTGTAGAAGGGACCTGCTTTTGGGGTACAACAAATTGCCAGGTGCATGTGTGATAACCTGGTTCCCTTGTGAGCGATGTCCTCTCCGCTTTTACCTTCCTTCGTAGCCCTAAGTATAGCCTCAGACACCTTAAACTGGACCTCCCACTGATTCATCCTCGTCATGGGTGTTTTGTCCTTACGAGAGACCTTGATCTCATAGGTCTGGTCTTCTTCCTTCACATACGTAATAGCAGCGTACGTTGCTTTGAACTTCTCCTGTTTCTCGGCTATTATAGTCGTCCTTGATGAACCTGGCCTGTTGAGGGAGGGGGGTTTGTAGGAGGGCACTCGTTGTGAGATGCCTTCCTTAGTTTTTATGACATTTACATGCCCGTCCTTATCTCGTTTCCGTCTAATGTATTCTCGTTCCGATGCTGTTCCTCCTCCTTTATTCCTGTTCACCTTCTGCTGTTTTTTCCTTTTCTCCTCTGCTCTTTCTTCTTCCTCTTGTTTCTTCTTCTCCTTACGCTGTTTCTCCTTCCCGGCCCGCTGCTCCCCAGCTACCGTCCACTCATCCCAATCGTCTGACTCCCGCTCTCTTTTGCGTAAATCCGACATACTGGAAGAGAGAAGGTTTGAAAGGTGTGACCTATTCTATTATAAAGCTGACTATCTTGCCGAGTTTAACTATCGAGTGATATGATAAATGTTTTCTGAAGTTTTTAGGAGGCCGAGATAAGTAAGAGTTCTGTAGAGAAATAATATCAGTAATATAAGATATATAATATCGTTTTTTCTTCCTTCGCCTGATTTCCTTTGTTCTATGAAGTGTCGGTCCGTGCGCGTCCGCAGCTAGCTCTGGTAATTTGTTGGAACCGAGGGTGTATTTGTCCTGCTTTTGTCTAGACTTGGTCACCGCGCGTTCCGTGTATTAGGAAGTAGATTTGGTACCAGATGCGTGTGCGGCTGCTTTGTCTCTTTCCGTACTCTTCAGGATGTCCTTATAATGATATTTCCCAGAGGAAGTGATTATATCCCGATTAGTGGGGTAGATCCTTAAAGCGTCCTATATACGTTACAAATGAATAAGTCCTCTATTTATGTAAAACTTATAGCCTGTCTAACAGAGAAGTACCTGTACAATCTCCTTAGCCCTAGGTTATGTACGACCGACCTATTAAATATGATAATTCCTGGTGTTACACATGAGGTGTAACCCTGTGTTAGGTGTTAATTCCGAAAGTTACCCTTACTAAAATTCCTATGTTAGGTGTTAATTCCTAGTGTTACACGTGAGGTGTTATCCTAGGTTAGGTGTTAATTCCGGGAGTTAAACGTAATATGAGTTCCTATGTTAGGTGTTAATATCGAGTGTTACACGTGAGGTGTAACCCTGTGTTAGGTGTTAATTCCGAAAGTTATACTTAATAAATTTCCTATGTTAGGTGTTAATTCCTAGTGTTACACGTGCGGTGTTATCCTAGGTTAGGTGTTAATTACGGGAGTTAAACGTAATATAAATTCCTATGTTAGGTGTTAATTTCGAGTGTTACACGTGAGGTGTAACCCTGTGTTAGGTGTTAATTCCGAAAGTTACTCTTAATAAATTTCCTATGTTAGGTGTTAATTCCTAGTGTTACACGTGAGGTGTAACCTGTGTTAGGTGTTAATTCCGGGAGTTGAAAAGTAATATAAATTCCTATGTTAGGTGTTAATTCGAGTGTTACACGTGAGGTGTAACCCTGTGTTAGGTGTTAATTCCGAAAGTTACTCTTAATAAAATTCCTATGTTAGGTGTTAAATCCTAGTGTTACACGTGAGGTGTAACCCTGTGTTAGGTGTTAATTCCGGGAGTTAAAAATAGTATAAAATCCTATGTTAGGTGTTAAATCCGATTGTTACACGTGAGGTGTAACCCTGTGTTAGGTGTTAATTCCGGGAGTTAAAAGTAAGAAAATTCCTAAGTTAGGTGTTACTTCCGAGTGATACACGTAATGTGTAACCCTGTGTTAGGTGTTAATTCCGGAAGTTACACTAAATAAAAATCCTATGTTAGGTGTTAATAAAGAGTGTAACATGTAAGGTGTAATCCTGGGTTAGGTGTTAAAACTGGGAGTTAAACGAGAAAAAGAATCTGAGAGGATAACTGTGAACTACCTGAAGAGTGTTAAGTTGCCTGAGGGAGAGACCGATTTGCTGCGATTCTATGTTAGTTTTGGCTATGATTGCCTTCCTATGATATAGAGATGGCTAAACCCTTCCTTTACATAGCTTAAGATCTATGTACCCCCCGTTAGAGCCACCCACCCCACACCGCGTGGAGGTTCGGAGAGGATTTTGTGGGCCAAACTGTAGATAATATCACTTCTTCAAAAGAATCAGTCTTTAGAATTGGGGTCTAAATTGGGATCAAGGACAAAAGAAAATCGCGATTAATTAGGCCAAAAATCGCGGCGCCGCGACAACTAGGCAAAATCGTGGCGAAAATCTCGAAAATCGCAGCAAAAGTTAATGTATTAATTGCACGATTAAAATTATGAATTAGGGGTAGACTGGTTCGTAGGGTAATGACTTGCTAGTTGGTTTGTGTGTACGACTTAAAGGTTGCGGCATGTAATGTTTCCAGCATTATGGCATCCTTTGTTACATACGTTTTTCACTATCAATATGTTCGTAGAAATATCTCCTTTACCCTCATGAGTTTATGTCCATATTGTGTTCGCAAAGGTATGTTACAAAGCTATAATATAGATTAATTGTCTTAACAATTGATCAATGTTTTCATTGTGCCAAATCTCAATTAACAAATTTGTCGTGGAGAATGGGAAAAATCTCGATTCCACACGTGCCGCGATTTCCTTTTGAGCTTGATTGGGATGCTTTTCTATTTGATAAATATAGTTTTTACCACGTTTTTTGTCCTCATCAAACTAAATCAAACTATTTAGAATCTAGTATTTTAGACTTATCGCCTTTATTATACTCGGTGTTTCAAATTCTATGTGCTCAGGAACTAATGGACAGAACAATATTGGATGTGCTGCGCACTGATCCAGATTTAACTACCGAGAGACTTGTTGCCAAAGCTTTGGAGGTTCACCGAAATTCTCACTGATTTATTCTTTCTTTTCGTCTACTGAAACAATATTTTGGTTTTCCCGTGGCTTTAACCATTTTGATGAAGAAGCATTTTTGTTTTATCTTGACTTGCTCTATGTCAGGTGGCTGCTGGCTTGGATCATATCCACAGTAAAGACATTCTACACTGTGACATCGCTGCTAGAAATATATCCTTTGATACTTGCTATACAAATCTTTATCTCAGCATGATTTATTTCTAACTTTTATAGCTAATCTTAATATTTCTCCCCTTTACCTAAATATCTTTTCAATTCTAAGCTGATAGCCTGTTTTCCTTAACTCCGTTGTACATTTTGCTAAACATCCAAGGGGTTGTGAAGATCAGTGATTTTGGTCTGGCTCGTTACTCGGATAGTCCAGATTGTAACTTGGTAGGCAAGGCCACTGTCTTCCCTATTAGGTGGACTGCCCCGGAAGTATTTACCGAGAACGTCCTCACTAAATCAAGCGACGTGTGGTCAGTTTACCCTCATTTAACTTATTCTTTGACTTTGTTAACTTATTTAACGTCGAAGACATCCCCTGTTGGTTGATTTTCATCGTTATTTGAAGACAATTTTTTGCGTACATATTCTCGTATTGTACACTGATTCTAAAATAAAACGTAACAAACTATCAGGAGTTACGGAATCCTGTGTTACGAATTTATCACCAGAGGAAAGACACCGTACGGTACTTTCCAGAACAGACAGATAAAACGAAGTGTGAGTTTATTTCCTTTTTATCGCGGAAATTATGATCTGAAAGTGTGCGTTTGTTTAATATAATATTGTTTGGTTTCCTTTCCAATTAGATGTGATTGGGATTTGTGGTATTTATTACTCGTATAGCTACAATTAATTGCGGGGATATTACTTGCGAATTTTACATGATCTCTTTAAATATATTTCCCAACTAGTATATTTAGTATGAAGATTAGTCTGTTAAGTGAAACCAGACATGAATTAGTAATATGTACTGGTATTCTCCCCTCGGTATTCTATAGACAGCAGGTCAATGCGAACACACTCTATCATTAATAACAACTAGTTATCTAGGGTAGCCCACTTGAACATGTCTGCTGAGCCTGGTCCAATGGAATTTACTAAAATCTCCTAATCTACACCGAATGTTATCTGAAGATACACTTCTCTGAATTAGATCACTGCCTCATGTTAATGACTTAATTAAAAGTAACTCTACCCACAGCCCGTTTGGCTGTTAATATGAGAAACTCGCACTGGGCACGGTTCGTTTTTAATTAAAGTTTGTGTTCAATCGTCGAAACATTTTCTCTTCAAGGGTGGTTAGTTATGCATTTTAAAATATTCTAATATCAAAGTAACAAAGTATGTAGGTGAGTAGGTACAGGTGCAATTGTTACTAATTTAATTTGTTATCAGATTGCCAATGTTAATGGCAACATACAGTCTGTACATTGTATTGTACTGTCAGGTTGCCAAATTTGCCAATGGTTACTAACAGTCACTATCCCCAGGTTGCCAGTGGTTACTAATAGTTACTATCCCCAGGTTACCAGTGGTTACTAATAGTCACTATCCCCAGGTTGCCAGTGGTTACTAATAGTCACTATCCCCAGGTTGCCAGTGGTTACTAATAGTCACTATCCCCAGGTTGCCAGTGGTTACTAATAGTCACTATCCCCAGGTTGCCAGTGGTTACTAATAGTTACCTATCCCCAGGTTGCCAGTGGTTACTAATAGTCACTATCCCCAGGTTGCCAGTGGTTACTAATAGTCACTATCCCCAGGTTACCAGTGGTTACTAATAGTCACTATACTCAGGTTGCCAGTGGTTACTAATAGTCACTATCCCCAGGTTGCCAGTGGTTACTAATAGTCACTATCCCCAGGTTGCCAGTGGTTACTAATAGTTACTATCCCCAGGTTACCAGTGGTTACTAATAGTTACCATCCCCAGGTTGCCAGTGGTTACTAATAGTCACTATCCCCAGGTTGCCAGTGGTTACTAATAGTCACTATCCCCAGGTTGCCAGTGGTTACTAATAGTCACTATCCCCAGGTTGCCAGTGGTTACTAATAGTCACTATCCCCAGGTTGCCAGTGGTCACTAATAGTCACTATCCCCAGGTTGCCAGTGGTTACTAATCGGCACCATCCCCAGGTTGCCAGTGGTTACTAATAGTCACTATCCCCAGGTTGCCAGTGGTCACTAATAGTCACTATCCCCAGGTTGCCAGTGGTTACTAATCGGCACCATCCCCAGGTTGCCAGTGGTTACTAATAGTCACTATCCCCAGGTTGCCAGTGGTTACTAATAGTCACTATCCCCAGGTTGCCAGTGGTCACTAATAGTCACTATCCCCAGGTTGCCAGTGGTTACTAATCGGCACCATCCCCAGGTTGCCAGTGGTTACTAATAGTCACTATCCCCAGGTTGCCAGTGGTTACTAATCGGCACCATCCCCAGGTTGCCAGTGGTTACTAATAGTCACTATCCCCAGGTTGCCAGTGGTCACTAATAGTCACTATCCCCAGGTTGCCAGTGGTTACTAATAGTCACTATCCCCAGGTTGCCAGTGGTTACTAATAGTCACTATCCCCAGGTTGCCAGTGGTCACTAATAGTCACTATCCCCAGGTTGCCAGTGGTTACTAATAGTCACTATCCCCAGGTTGCCAGTGGTTACTAATAGTCACTATCCCCAGGTTGCCAGTGGTCACTAATAGTCACTATCCCCAGGTTGCCAGTGGTTACTAATCGGCACCATCCCCAGGTTGCCAGTGGTTACTAATAGTCACTATCCCCAGGTTGCCAGTGGTTACTAATAGTCACTATCTATATCCCCAGGTTACCATTGGTTACTAATAGTTACCATCCCCAGGTTGCCAGTGGTTACTAATAGTCACTATCCCCAGGTTGCCAGTGGTTACTAATAGTTATTATCCCCAGGTTACCAGTGGTTACTAATAGTTACTATACTCAGGTTGCCAGTGGTTACTAATAGTCACTATCCCCAGGTTGCCAGTGGTTACTAATAGTCACTATCCCCAGGTTGCCAGTGGTTACTAATAGTTACTATCCCCAGGTTACCAGTGGTTACTAATAGTTACCATCCCCAGGTTGCCAGTGGTTACTAATAGTCACTATCCCCAGGTTGCCAGTGGTTACTAATAGTCACTATCCCCAGGTTGCCAGTGGTTACTAATAGTCACTATCCCCAGGTTGCCAGTGGTTACTAATAGTCACTATCCCCAGGTTGCCAGTGGTCACTAATAGTCACTATCCCCAGGTTGCCAGTGGTTACTAATCGGCACCATCCCCAGGTTGCCAGTGGTTACTAATAGTCACTATCCCCAGGTTGCCAGTGGTCACTAATAGTCACTATCCCCAGGTTGCCAGTGGTTACTAATCGGCACCATCCCCAGGTTGCCAGTGGTTACTAATAGTCACTATCCCCAGGTTGCCAGTGGTTACTAATAGTCACTATCCCCAGGTTGCCAGTGGTCACTAATAGTCACTATCCCCAGGTTGCCAGTGGTTACTAATCGGCACCATCCCCAGGTTGCCAGTGGTTACTAATAGTCACTATCCCCAGGTTGCCAGTGGTTACTAATCGGCACCATCCCCAGGTTGCCAGTGGTTACTAATAGTCACTATCCCCAGGTTGCCAGTGGTCACTAATAGTCACTATCCCCAGGTTGCCAGTGGTTACTAATAGTCACTATCCCCAGGTTGCCAGTGGTTACTAATAGTCACTATCCCCAGGTTGCCAGTGGTCACTAATAGTCACTATCCCCAGGTTGCCAGTGGTTACTAATAGTCACTATCCCCAGGTTGCCAGTGGTTACTAATAGTCACTATCCCCAGGTTGCCAGTGGTCACTAATAGTCACTATCCCCAGGTTGCCAGTGGTTACTAATCGGCACCATCCCCAGGTTGCCAGTGGTTACTAATAGTCACTATCCCCAGGTTGCCAGTGGTTACTAATAGTCACTATCTATATCCCCAGGTTGCCAGTGGTTACTAATAGTCACTATCCCCAGGTTGCCAGTGGTTACCGACTGCCCAAGTCAGATGAGTGTCCAGATGACTTGTACATGTTAATGTTGAAGTGTTGGAACAGTGAGCCCAGCAAGCGCCCTTCTTTTCAGGTCATCTACCAGGACCTTATCAACATGAAACTGGGATTCGCTAAGTGAGTTGCTAAACCTTAGTAACTACCAATAGTAACCTTAGTAACTACCAATAGTAACCTTAGTGACTACCAATAGTAACCTTAGTAACTACCAATAGTAACCTTAGTGACTACCAACCTTAGTAACTACCTTAGTAACTACCAATAGTCCGAATAGTTTTATGGTACCGGTTACGGGTTAGCGGTAGGGATTCGGTCCGCCAACCACTTTTATTGGTCTCACTCCTGTATGTTTGGTTTGAAACTAGACACAGTTGACCAGGTTCGGGTTTGAGTGGGTTTTCGCACTGTTACCTCTAGAACACCCTTCGTGTCCGCACATTGTCCAGCGTGCTGTAATGGGAAGTCATCCCGCTCTCCTGATCAAATCACTGAGCTGTAATTTACATTTGAGGTTACAATTGAGGTAGAGAGGAAATTGATATTTCAGCTTCACGTTTTAAACTTTACATATACATTACACGCAGCTATTTTAAAACTCGTTGCCAAGATTTTGATATCACATTTAAATTTGTGTCCCGGCCCACGGGGGGATATGAATTATATACTCCTTTTAAAACGTTAATCACCAGGAAAAGGAGATGACATCATGGTTATTTTACTGCAATAATACTGTGGAAAATATTACCGCTTTTAAAGTTTCACATATGTCATTCTAGGAATAATCCCTAGCGAAATCATCGCTACTAAAATATCATTAGTGCAGTCGAGTCTAGCACTAGTCACTAATCGGTTTAACTTTAAAATAAGTTGTATAAATTGTAATTCATAACATTTTAAAACTTGACTAAAAGGGTATAACAATATAAGGCCAGACAAGTTAGCCGGTTTAGAAGAGCTATCTAACTGAAGGTTGCAGGTGGCGTATCTCTAAATATATACCCTAACTAACCCAGTGGTTTGTAAGCGAGAGAGAGAGTGTGTAGTTAGTGTACTGCTCCAAGGGGGGAGGCGTCAGGTGTGTGAGGGTAGGAGCCAATAATAAACCACATTGTACCTGATAACAATATGTTTTGTAGTACACCATGTGCAATAGGATCTCCTCTAGTGTGTAACTTGTAACGAGGCTTGCTGTGAATAATAATGAGGTATTTTCAACACTTACCCATACACACACACACACAGCGCCCAACACAGGTGCAGATTGCACAACTTCAGGTTTTATGGGAATTTTTCCGGCTAATTAGTAACTATTTATAGGGAGAAATGCAATGATTTCTATTGTATGGGCGTGTTATAATGTATTGGCAACTTATTTTCAGTATCCATGATTACAAAGGTTTTATATTACATCGTATAATAAGATAATAACGACAGCGGATTAGAGGGAATCCAGGGGATCAGTGTTTGAAAGGTATTAGGCTATGACAGGTTTGTGAAAAATGACGTGGTATCTCCGGTATTTGCGGAATTTACTCATCTGTACAAGTGCCAACCGAAAATGAATCTTGTTCTACAACGAAGTAACATTGATTTATTCGATAGCCCCATTTCTACTGATGATATTAGACACTGTGTGAACAATACAAACGCTACAAACCGAGTACATGTACTGAGTGTGATTATGGTGTACAGTAAAACTTATACTATATCAGCTTAGGAAAATGCTAAACCTTTAAACTTAAGCGCCATGTTTAGCAAAGCATGATTCTGTTCTCGTAGAAAAATCATGACCGGCTTGACCGCTTTAGTTCCAGCTTTCTAAACTGAAATTAAATTGCAATTTAAAATGCTCGACTTTATGATCCTAATCACACTTATCATTTAAAGACCCGCTCGAATCCACACCTGCACTCTGCAGGTATTTAAAATATGTACACATGATGTAATGGTGAACAGGTCTATACTTAAAGTCGGCGCATGACAAAGTGTGTACTAAGCTTTAATGTTTAAAATGTTTAGTATTTAGTTTCACTGAAATTAAATACTCAACAGATCTAATAATAGAATCACTGAAACCACCCCAACAAGACTTTGGTGAATTTAGATGCAGGCAGTCTAATGTTTTAACAGAATATCTAGCTTTTTGTATTTTTTCAGATGCTTAAGGAGGAAAATGTATACTATAATTAAACTGGTATCGCAGAATCTTTGTTTAAGCTTTGCGGAACGATGGTGTTCATCTTTTAAGATAAACTCTTTCTGTCACTTAGTTATTGAGTGAACTTCACAAGATAAACTCTTTCTGTCACTTAGTTATTGAGTGAACTTCACAAGATAAACTCTTTCTTTCACTTAGTTATTGAGTGAACTTCACAAGATAAACTCTTTCTGTCACTTAGTTATTGAGTGAACTTCACAAGATAAACTCTTTCTGTCACTTAGTTATTGAGTGAACTTCACAAGATAAACTCTTTCTGTCACTTAGTTAGTGAGTGAACTTCACAAGATAAACTCTTTCTGTCACTTAGTTATTGAGTGAACTTCACAAGATAAACTCTTTCTGTCACTTAGTTATTGAGTGAACTTCACAAGATAAACTCTTTCTTTCACTTAGTTATTGAGTGAACTTCACAAGATAAACTCTTTCTGTCACTTAGTTATTGAGTGAACTTCACAAGATAAACTCTTTCTGTCACTTAGTTGTTGAGTGAACTTCACAAGATAAACTCTTTCTGTCACTTAGTTAGTGAGTGAACTTCACAAGATAAACTCTTTCTGTCACTTAGTTATTGAGTGAACTTCACAAGATAAACTCTTTCTGTCACTTAGTTATTGAGTGAACTTCACAAGATAAACTCTTTGTGTCACTTAGTTATTGAGTGAACTTCACAAGATAAACTCTTTGTGTCACTTAGTTATTGAGTGAACTTCACAAGATAAACTCTTTGTGTCACTTAGTTATTGAGTGAACTTCACAAGATAAACTCTTTCTGTCACTTAGTTAGTGAGTGAACTTCACAAGATAAACTCTTTCTGTCACTTAGTTATTGAGTGAACTTCACAAGATAAACTCTTTCTGTCACTTAGTTATTGAGTGAACTTCACAAGATAAACTCTTTGTGTCACTTAGTTATTGAGTGAACTTCACAAGATAAACTCTTTCTGTCACTTAGTTATTGAGTGAAGTGTATCTGAAGTAGGACACTGATAAATTATACGGCACTTTTTTATCACAAACTTAGATAAAGTTAGGTGATGTTATTGTATGTACATTTAAACCGAATGTGTGTCAAGTGTGAATAAGTATTCAAGGATAAGTGACCTTTAATCACGCATATCGTATCCTAGGTGTAATGTTTGGATCTCTTGAAAACTTTCTAACCACGAATCCAAACAAAAATGTCACATTCGTCATGCATCAACGGTTCGGAACTTATCTAGGACAGCTATGGATTGTGATGAGAAGTGGTTGGAAAATAATGCTGGTCAGGGCGGAGTAGAAAATGACTCCTTAATTTTTACTTTTGGGCAACTTCATAGTTAAGTCTGATCCGTCTCCGATCAGATTAATCAGATTAAATTTCAATGATACTGAAAGTAAATCTATTCAGGAGTCAAACTTTATATTATTAGGGGAGGGAGTGTTGAGGCATTATGTTATATTGGATCCCCCGGGATTTACATTTCTCAGATTTAATGACACGACATGTCAGAGTGCTGACAGCTGGTATTTTCAGGAAGCAAAAGTTTGCTGTAAACTTTGACGAGAGGGAAATATCAGCGGATTCTGACCAGCAAGCCGTGTAAGTTCAAGTGTATCAATTTTAGAAATTGTCCGTGATCATATGAATTTTTCTCCTATCAAATATTTTTCAACTTCAGTCTTCAGTATCATCAACATAACTCAGTTTTTGTACCGAATCCAGGAGAATTAGCACATTCCGACGACAAAGTTTGGGAATGCGAGCTAGCATAAGGAAACTTGTTAGAAGCGTGAGTGGCAAGAGGCAATCTCAACTCAGCTGGTCATCTGACAATGTAAGTAATTTAAATTTAACATAATATTCTGACACGACGAAACAGTTTGAAACAGCATTAATATAACTAGCAGGAACCCGTCTAACCCTAAAGTGGTGTCAAGACTCGAGAGACTAAAATAATTATTACCTATTTAATTCGCGTTTTTGACACCACTTGAGAGTCCAAATTTTGGGCACTAAAATTATTATTCCTTGGCCAATTTTTTATTTTTTCATGCTGATTTGAAGGCCATTAAAGCATTTGACCCAGTCAAAAAAGTTTCAGTTGTATATGTTTTACGGTTTTTGCGGAAAGTCGCGTTAAAGTTGATGCCGTGGTGTCAGTAAAATGGCACGGATATATACACATATATATATCGTCTCGCTTTATATATAGTAAGATTATAAAATGTAGTAAATTTAATAAATTTGTCTTCAAAAAATTGCGTTTGAGTCATACCAGGGTGTCCGAGTGGTTAAGGAGTTGGACTTAAGTTCCAATGTGCAGATGCACGCATGGGTTCGAACCCCATCCCTGGTAATATCTTTTAATTTATTTTTCAATAATAGTCTCTTGTGCAAGCTTGATTAGGAAACATTTCGTAAGTTTAGACTTGTTCTCGTAACTTCCCGGAAGAGATAATTGGTTGTCTCTGTTTTTTTGCTTTATGACATATTTCATTCACTAAAGATTAAAGACAGTTTCAATTTCACAGTTTTATTGATGCCTTCCCATCAACTTGTGTTGTTACTCGATCGAACATACTAACACATCTTTATGTGAACATATATCAGCATGTAAACTTTAAAATGAAAACGATTAAAGTAAATAAACCTTACTAATTGCATTAATTTTCATTCAAATTTTGTACTTTTAGGGCAACCGCGTTCACAAGAATTTGGATATTTATGCGCTAACTAGCGCGCATCTCACGCGCGCGCATAGCTTAGAGAAACATATTATAATTCAATTCCTCGGTGCATCCTATCCAAGCTGGCCCATGCACATAGAGAACGCTGATTAATGAAACAGTCTCGATGCATGGCTTTCAAGGACACAAAATTACACAACCCAATCACTCCGGCACTATAAATGGTCCGCAACTGAACCAGCTACGTCGCGTCATGTTCTTGTCCAATAGCCCGACAATCTCACACAACTCTTCCAATGTCGCACATTTTAACTGTGCCCCCTCGCTCTCTCTCCCACTAAAACCTATATGACGTCATGCTAATGGGAAATGCTGTCTCGTTGGTATGTTGAAACCAGGAAAAGCTGGGCAGACTAATTAGCTCGAATTGTATATTTTTCAGTGCGATGACAGTTTAACTGTATACACGACCCTCCTTCAAACGAGCAAAGATAAAATATCAGTACATTGCAAGAAGGACATTAGAACGGGAGACGTGATGAAAAAGATATTACAGAAAATAGGACTCCCTGAGCAAGATTCCTACAAGTAAGCTCATGTTATAATGTTTGTTCGATTTGGCAGCCAAAGATACCTCAAAGAAAGGATTCGTTACAAATTTAGTAACGTTACACTATTACAGTGCTTAACTTTAGTGAGTTAACTTTTCCTACTAGTTTTGTACATGTATTGAATTGGTAGAAATCAAGTCCCTATTTGCAGATACGCGATGGTAGAAGTATTTGACGCTCAAGCCTCAATGAGAAGATCCCAACCTGCACTTAACACCTCCCCTGAACAGTGCACCCCGTACGTTAAACTAAGGGGACTGTTGGATCAGCCTCTCTTATCACGGGCCACATGGCCAGACAAGGAGAACACACGGTACCTGGTCTGTACTAGGGGATCTATATTGAGAGTATTGGAACTCTGTAGACAGATTAAAGATGGTGTTAATGTCGGCCAGCAGCCCTATCAGACCCGCGGATACCTCCTTCAATCCACTGGTTTGTGTTTTAATTATTAATTTCCTTTTATCTCCTCAATCTCGCGATATTAACTTGTCTGAGACAAATAACGATTTTAATGTGAGTGAAAATGAGCTGTTAAGTGACCTGTAATTTGATTTATCAGGGGTAGTTACTGGTAGACAGAGCATGATGTGGAGTAAGGTCTGGGGTACGTTAGACGGCATTTCTCTCGCCGTCTTTGAAGATGAAGATGTAAGTTTCAAATCAAGTTTATTAGCACAGGATACATAAATAAAGCAAGTTAATTGTTAAATAGGCTCCGAAAAGGAGATACCTTAATTTTTCAACTCTAATCACAGTATATAGTTAGCATTCTAGTCTCGTTCCACCGTAACACGTGATATGTAACAGTGCGAGGAGGCATGGAACTGCAGTACAGTACTGACGGTACAGCATGCTTCTATATCAGAGAACAGACACGACATGTTCTGTGTTACAGACACTACCAACGCACAACACACCTTTCAGGTACATTTTAGTCTGCTTCATGAGAATACAGCTTAGTTTAAACACACAGATCTTGAAAATTCTGAAACTGAAATAATCTTCTTAAACCAGGTCATCGTTTATTATTTGTATTTGAACCTCGAATATATCGAAAACTTCTTCAATGGAAACGTTATTTCTCAGGCTGATGATAGAGAGGATGCATTCCGATGGGTGGAAGCAATCAACGCAGCTCAGTTATCTAAAGCACCCCAATCCTCAAAACTTGCTGACTCTATTGCTCTTCACACTGCTAAGGTTAATATTTTAGAGATATTAACGTTCAGTTTAATCAACAATTAGCTTGCTATCCTGATGCTGTATTTGTGTCTATGATTGAATGATTCGGCGTTTGTTCTTTAGCGGCATATTAAATGTTGAAAGTGAGTCATTTTTAAACGTTTTTAACGATGAACGAACCAAAACCTTTCCCAGGTGCTAGTAATAACGGGATCTACCAACGATGAAACAATAAACTACGGGCACAAACAGGTGACCCTCCACAAGGAGGAACTGGTATTCTACCACAATGGTGAGAGACACAGTTTCAGTATGTCTGATCTCAGCGAGATATCTATAGTTCCTGCTAACCCCAACCATAGTGAGTACCTGTAACTTATACATGCTGAAATTGTTTTATTTTTCAATTCATATATCTGAGAATTTCCCTTCACAACATAACACGTCTTTCTATATTTTAATAGATGATGATTGGCAAAATCCACCAATTTGTCAATACTACACTCTCCAACATGAGAGACTCAATACCTGAACTATTATTTCAGACGCAACACGTGGTTCTACCAGCGGGTTAAACCCTAACGGGTTCAGATTAAAGTTTGGAGAGGGAGCCTGTAACCACCTGTATCCCATGTCTCACGAGGACTACCATGCTTGGTCCAGCGCACTTCACCGAGCTACTCTTCTCTTAGGCCTACCTCATGTGAGTCTCAATACTTGTATTACATCATCAGAGTATGAGGTTGAAAATCATAATTTGATGTCTTATAATGGAAGGAAGTAAAGATATTTTCCTCATGAAAAGTAATAATGTAAACACTCAAACATATGACTCTCTCTCAGGTCATAGAGCAGTCAAATCTCAATGAGCTGAAAGAAGAACAGAATCCGGCTTCAGGACGGATAGAGAGTCCAGATTCAGGTATTAATACTCGTATTCTTGCATGCAGTCTGTCATTTATTGTGTTGTTGACACGTCATGCTTGCACGTTACCATGGTTAAAAATCTCGTGAATATTTGAATAAAAATTGTTGAGGAAGTGGATTCTTAATTCCACCTTTATGTTGCAAAGTTTTAAACTCAGTCACACATTTATGTGCTACCATCCACAAATAAAACAAATCACGGATGCATAAAATATGACTGTATAATCGTTAAACAACAAATTATGAAATTAGGATTAAGGTTTTTAGCACGTGACTCTACTTTCAGTAGGTCTTGTTCTCTGTTTCTCTCTTAGTTTTAAACTAGACTTACTACATGTAAGATCCCAACCAAGGTTAAGATCACAACATAAAAGTCCTGACTTAATGTATCACTCAATGGCACTACAGGTTATATGATACCGCACGCAGTTGAGTAACTCCTAAAGAGGAAGTTGATTAGACTTAAGCTTCCATCCCTTGATGGGAACTCTGGAGCGTGCTTGAATTAAAATAATCAAAATTGCTTCTGCGAACGTGAGAGCGTATTGAATCTAAAGGAAAAGTAGTGTTGAGTAGAGATGACGTCATGCACACCCTCATTATGGGCCTTGTAAATTGTGTTGATTTCTTTTAGTATTGATTTCTTTTACAATATGTGGATGATTAACCAGTGTTATAGGACCTCACATAATTTAAATAGCATAAATTATGAGATATTATACATTTAAGGCATCGTTCACATATTACGTAAGCTAAATTTTAAATCGGCATATCCATTTTATAAAATATTGGAAATTTTGCGTTTCAAAGTCATATTATCATCATCATCCAGGGCTTTAAGTTAAACATCACATAATTTAAGGGGAACGTAAGGTAAGAGTTTTATTCGATAAAGACAAATGTGTGCCTTTTGTTCATCTTGAGACAGGTGACCTTTTAACATGGTTTAAATATTCAGTTGAAGATTTAAGGCGTTCTTTTTGTTTGTATAGTCCTTTTGTCATAATTTATTAGCTAAGGCACGTCGTTCATATTTTATAAATTCTGGGATACAAACTGACAGTTTCATCGAATACCAACTATTTATATTTTGACGATATTTAGTGCAGTTAATTATTGATTCAAGTTAATATGATTCAAAATGATTTAAATTAGTGATCGTTCACATATTATTACGTAAGCCAGCCTTTGTGGAGGGGTTAGGGAAATATTTATCATAAATAGAATCTGCAATTTGTTTGGAATTTCTATATTTGTAATAGATGTGGATACTGGCGGGGAGGTGATAATTGTTTGTTTACGTTTTAGTGGCGCCTCTATTCAGCAGGTTGAAGAGGTGATAATTGTTTGTTTACGTTTTAGGTGGCGCCTCTATTAAGCAGGTCGAAGATGTGATGCAAATTTTGAATTATCGAAGGCTTGTAACACTTGTAACGCCTTCTTGTTACCCCCCTTTGAAGGTCCCGAATTATTTTCTGAACGAAAGCTCAAAAATATCCGAGAAATCGACCTTCTTATTAACTCATTTTGATGACTGTTTCTGACCTAAAATTGCACGAAAAATCGATTTAACTAGGTTTCAGAACCTATAAACACTTTCTTATCCCCCAAAATTGATGTTTTATAGTTTAGAATCCGAGCAACAAGCAACATATATTTTGATCCTTCGGTTCTACAGCTCTTGACCTAGGGCTGAACCGAAAGATTGAGGTAATCCTCACCTTAACTGATCGAACTTGAGTGAAGAGCAGAGTACGACAAAACACAGCAGGTAAATAATAAAATAATTCGGGACCTTCAAAGGGGGGTAACAAGAAGGCGTTACAAGTGTTACAAGCCTTCGATAATACAAAATTTGCATCACATCTTCGACCTGCTTAATAGAGGCGCCACCTAAAACGTAAACAAACAATTATCACCTCCCCGCCAGTATCCACATCGAGTTATATCGGTTTCTGTGTATACTATATATATTGGCAATATCATTATATTAGCAATAATTGCTTGGAATAATCGTTTTGTCGGCTCATTCTTCACCCACGAATGGATGTTCATTGTCCGCGGCAGTGGGACATTATATTTGAAAATGTCTAATTATTTCGCATAATCCGTGAAAAGCCATGAAATTTTTGATTGTGTCTAAACATGATTACTGTAGATGAAAAGAAGCTAGGTTTATTCCACAATAAGCACGGTCAGTAACTTGTCGAAACAGCTGCTTTTTTCTCGTCATATTTGAAAACATTTTCACAACATAACAAACAAACTCGTCATAAAATTTAACGCTCACAAAGCAACTTCTGATGAGTAATGAAATCCTTTATCAGATATAATATTTTCTTAAAACGTAGTTAAAAGCTGTAATTTTTTTGAAACAGCTACTTTTTATGATGCACCGCATCAGAAATATCCATCTAAAAGAAAAATGAACAATATTTTTAAAGCAATCCCCTCTATAGCGCCAATTACGTCATCTAGAATCTAGATAATGTTTTCGATGCTGTTCATTTTATAGAGGAAGATTGCAGCCTTGTCTGCATTATTAACATTTGGTTTAACATAACTTACACACCTTAGTTAATAGTTATTCGTTACCACTTTCCTCAGTCCTCTGAAAATGTTTAACTTGTTTAAAATGCAATTATCCATGTCTGAATATCTACAATTGATACGCACGGTTATCGAGAAGTGAATTGTGACCAAACCAAAGTGTTAAGAATCCCAAACAGCAGCAAGGAAATAGTAGAGATATTTACAAATAAACAAAAAACTGTTTGGGTTAAAGGGTATTTGGGACCAGGTTGACAGCGTGGTTGTTATGACGATCTTGTTAAACTGGGACAACTAGAATTCTTCGTATTTCAAGACGGGGTACTTGAAAATGGGGTATTCTAATCCTATATCAGGGTACACGCATGTTGTCAGATTTGTTGTCATTTGCTTTTTTGGGATGAAGCTTACTGAAATTTGCGTTCTTTTCATTCTTGGGGAACTTTTTTAATGACTCTTACAGCCTACGTAGAAATCTCACAGTACTACTATATGTATACGTATTCATAGGATTTTGAGGAGGCCCTTTTATCCAGATAAACTTTTCTTTTTCTTTAGAAGTGCTCAATATCAACATTGTACAATATGATATTTTGTGAAAAATTATTGCTTAAAATTCACGTGAAATCGCTAATCATCATATGATGTCATTGATAGTCATTATAGTACTGTTACTTCATTCTAGAAGCTTCTCAGTCTCTTGCCCCCATTTCGGTTCCTGATATGACGAAAGAGCGGTTATCTTGCAGCCATTATTTTTCATGGAGTACTCTGTTTCCATAGTTCCATTTCACTTACAGTTACAACTATATCACGCGCTATATTCTTGTGCAGGTGCTTGGCAATTTTAAGATTTTCAAAACTTCGCGTAAGTTCGAAACAGCCATCTTTCCAACCGGGAACTAACTTTAATATACGAGACTAGTATTACGAATACCTCTATTTGAATTATCCAACATGTTACCAGTATTTTTAGCACAAATAAGTAAAGACTCTCTTAAATGTAGGACACATGACCTTGTTATTGTTATGTTTCTATGCGTTTTAATGGACTTAACATACTTTTTAAATTTTAAACCGTTTCTTATTTGCATCAAGTGTATTTTTAGGTATCAAGGGCTGTTTCCATGCTCGACTTGGGTCAACTTTTGTCCAGGTCGATACCCAACCTGTATTATGCAGTATAGTTTAACTTATAGTAGAAACGATCAGTAGCATCCCCGACCTGACTATCCTTAACGAGTTTCGTATTACTATTACTCGTAAGGTGTACTTTTACATCCTTATATTCTGCATTGACGCAGCTGGATACATTACTACTTGCATTTTTATATTGTCTCTACGGTTATGGGCAAGTAATCACAAATTGTATTTTCTGATTGTTGCTTATAATCGCTAATTGAGTGGTTACAAGGCGCTTTCCTCAGAAATTCACCGTTTTATTTATATTAAACACTTATGAACCGCTTGTGAGTGGTTTTTAAATATTCGATTATAATCGTTTATCTATGAGTATTGCTGAAAGCACAGTGTAAGGCCTACACGAACCGCCTCTAACTAGCCAATCCCTGTTTACATGCCGTGTAGCAGGGGACTAGATAGAGCTAAACTATACTATTTTTAAATCTCCCTTCCCTTGGCTGCACCCCTGCTGTCAGAAGCAATTTTTCTTAGATAATTTAAATCAAAAATATTATTAAGAAACAAGTTTCGGTTTCTTAAGTCACGCTGTTTCGATGAGAACAGGTTTGACTGAGGTCGTCCAAACTCCAACTCTCCCTGGAATTTGTAAACTATTAACTGGACCTCACATGACCAAGCCATCGACTAAACTCCACTTTAACTGACCGCGGTTCACTGTTGCAGTGTCTATACAGATTGGTATTTGAAATTAATCCCCTGGTACTTATAATTCAATATTGATCTTAAATTACGCCTAGGTAAACATCCAACGTCTCCAACACAGCCTTAGATGCAGCCCAACAAGTTATACATTAACAAATACACTACCAAGGCCTCATACAGCACGAGTCGCTTTTACAGGGGTTTTCTGTTAGTCCAGGCTTTTTGATACTTATTGAAAGCAGCATATCCTTGACTTATACTACGCTGAATATATGCCCCTCCTCCACTCCTCACTACCAGCAATTGGCTTACCAGTTGCGTCCTTTCCCCTGAACGTGCTAAGTACACGTCATGAGTGAAATCAGTTATGTCTTCATTGACACAGAGATTCCAACGCTTCAGGTTTTCTTCATCTTCATCCAAGTCGACATCATCTGCATACTCAGTGGAATTTGGGGAAAAACCAGAGAAAATTTGCACAAAATATAAATAGAGCAAAATTGGTTATATCAGCCATCATTTTTGCCTCCCATTCTATGTTAATAACTCGAAAAGTAAGCATTTTAGGGTACATGTTGCTTCATAGGTTGTATATAAACA